AACATTTGTTTTGTTACCTCGAAGTTACTTGTTTATGATATAACCCGTCGACTGAATTGATTTATATGTGAGCATAATAACACTGAACTCAATGGACAACTCGACTGAAATACTATATACGTTTATTTGTCCTAGGTATCTTCCGGTTCCCTGAACCTCGCAAATATCAAAATACAAAGGCTGGCCATTGATTGTTAGGATACGGACTTTTAATTAAGGAAGTGCATATCATACTTATGAATTTCTAACCATATTAAAATTCGGCTAGGTCAGTGGAACATAAAGTATTTTGATTGGTTGACGGTTGGACAAAGGTTAGACAATGAAGCGAGAAAGTTATTCATCGTGACCCAAGATCATACGTACATTTGCTAAAAATACTGATTACAATTTTAGCCGCTTCCTATCAGTTTCGTGGCGGTAGAATCCGAGACGTCCAGTTCATCCCACTTGGGACTCATCAACTGGGTGTAGCTGTATATCCACAGTTTAATGGTGGCCCCCATGGTCCAGTAGGAAACGTTTTGGTGTTTGAGGCAATGCCTGTTTTCGACATAGAACTTTGCACATATGTGCGGAAGTTCAAGTCGCCACACTCCCTCATTGTAGCACACAAACCAACAGGAGAAAGTAGATGAAATGCATAATAGAGACAGTAAACAGAGGTGTGAGACAAAGGAATAGTAATAATGAAGAACAATATAGTTTCATTGGAAACTATAAGTCACAAGGAGTGGATGCATCTGAGCCACTGAGAACGATTTTGAGCCATGTCACCAATTGTTTCCAACCATTGGTTTTTACCGTCCGGGGGACCCCAATCAGACAGCAGTCTACACCTTCCTACGTGGCTTAGACTAACTGTTGTGGATTTCATTGACTGGTGCCATGTTTTGTTTGACCCCCGCTAGCTCTTTTCCAGCCTGACCCTATATCAACTAACATGTTTGAGGCCTAGGTTTCCATCTCATTGGGAACACTTACTCACTGGGAATGTAGATACACCCAACTGATGAGTTCTGAATAGCACGTGTGGCGTGTACTACTGACATAATTTATCAGTAGTTTAAAAAGACAGGTTCAACAGCTCAAAAGTATTAAATAGCGGAGATATAGATTTGACATGAAAGAGAGGAAATCAACCAACCAATATCGCGACAAAACATGGGAGACACGAAACACGAAAAGATGACAAAGAAACACAATACAAGGGAGAGAAGAAGCACACCACAGAAAAAATGATGACTTTCATATAAGGTGGTGTACATAATTTCATTATATTTGCATATCGAATTCTCCATAAACATTCCGTTACTGATATGTATCCACATGATGTGTGTTTTGTTTTTGACAGTCTGTTATATTTCGCTATGTGTATATTGATCCATATCCCATTATAACTGACAATATGCTTTTGTCTGTCCACTAACTAAATAAACAATGTATGACCTTGTTGCCACATGACATTACAACCAATCATGTTAAGACTGTCTATTTATTGGTTCATGTGTATTAGTCATTTTCATATATACTTTTGTACTGTATACTTGTTCCCGCGATTTCGTACACTACGTACCATTTCACTCACACTCTTGTGTGACATTTATTTACCTTGTCTGGAAAATACAAGTATCATCGTAAACCTGGTGGTCTTCTGATTTCCCTCTTTCCGCGTCAGGAGTATTAACTACTCAACGAGTACATAACAGTTACCAAGTCTCTACTCTTCTCCCGTTACAGATGAAACACGTCGAGTCACTGGTTCCACTACTAACTACCAATACAACGTAGTCGAAGGATACACACTAGGAGCCGATATATATCAACAGAGAGACGGGGAATTTTGGTTTAAAATTGAAAATAATGAATCAGTTCGCTTTAAAGCGACTTTGACATTATGACAATGAAATGTATAAAAAAAGCTACAGTCACTGAACCCAAAGGGATATATCTGTACTAGGTTGATCATGTTCTACAAATTTTTAATAGTAATCTTTCCTAGTGCTTCTCCTACACTCTCCTACTCAAAAATTCTGTTTCTTGATGTGGAACTAACAAGAAGAACTGATGGGAGCCTAAGAAGATCGATCCACAGAAAAGCTATTTGGAATGGTCAGCTAACAAGCTTCTATAGCTGGGTACCATTCAACGAAAGAGGAATTTAATTAAATCACTTGCCACCCGCATCAGTAGTGCCAACGTTCTAAGAGAAATTTTCATCCAAAATGGATACCCAATAAGATTCATCGACAAAAATATCAAACCAAGAATTTGGAGAAACGAAACTTAAATTGCGCCAAAAAAGAAACTCCACATGAGCTTGGATTTGAAAGAAGATTTAACAAGCGATATTCTCAAGAGAAGGATCACATCATCTCTGAGAAGAACATTCTTTCCAGCAACGTAAGAATAGTGTTCTCCAGTCACCCACTGATCTGTAGAAGCCCTAAAGACAAGATCTCGAATCTGACCACTTCTATGTGCGTATATCAGTCCACCTGCTGCTGTGGAGCCGGGTACATCGGTCGTTCGACGCACACCCTGTCCAAGAGGATTCAAGAACACTATCCAGTGATCGAATAAAAAGGGCGACAATTCAACACCTGGTTAACACCCTGATCATTCCATTTCAACAAACGCCTCCTGCTTCAAAGTAATCTACAGGGTCAAGAATAACCTATCAAAGGCAATACGGTTTCGTCTTCTTTGTATCGCTGAAGCTCTGGCCATTCACATAGAAAAACCAGAGCTGTGCATACAAAAGAAGATTATTCAAACACTTCTACTGTCATAGTAACAACTTTTTTGATTTTTTGACTTTTTGTTTGTTTGCCTGTTCTTTAATTGCTTATAATTCTTGTATTCATTTAGAACTCTTACGTAATTTCGTATTATCTACTTTGTTCCTATGTGTATCCTGAGTAAATACTCACTCATCAAACTATTTATATTGTTACATAACTTCCTCAACAACTGTTTGTGACAACTCATCACCTACCTTTGTTACTACCCTAACTTCATTAACACCTAATTTTCTTGACTGATTTTATATTACGTAACTACAATTAACAATCTTCACCTGTTTAGTTAAAATAACCATAACCAATTGTCTATTTTTGTTTGACCAACTTAATGTACACAAATACATACAAAATAACCCACATATGCATATATTTGCGATTGTACAGCAAAGAAAATGAATTCGCCGCCGAAAAGAGGCTCTTCTCTGAACTAAGTGTTTTGCTTTCTTCTCCCACTCATCATCTTGAAGGTAACACAACTGGTTTTATGATCGTCTTAAAGAAAAAAAAAAACCTTGTTACTGATAAAACTTGTTTCCCCTAATGGTAACCAACACGACGACAGTAACACATCATCTAATCAACGCCTCTGTTATAGTAGTCGTTGTTATGATATGGTGGAAACTGTTACACCACATCAATATGCCAACTATTGATTGATTGATTGATTCGATATCATTGAAACTATGCATTACAACAACAACCACCAATTAACTCAGACAATAAAGATAATTAAGAATAATAATAATAATAATATATTTTGCAGATATTCATATCACCATATTTCACAGACAAACAACAAATCCGGCCGGAATGAAGTAAGGTGCAGATACACACACTCGCGCTTAAAAAGTGAAATAAAATAGAAAGTACTTTTAAAACAAACACCCTGTTGTAATAATATAAAGTAAAATATATATATGTAGGCACACCACCCAAAATTAAAACCGAAAACCAAAAAGAAAAAAATAAGCCAGAGATCAATTAAGACAGCCAGTGTGTTTGTGTGCAGAGAGCAGGGAGAGAAGTGGAGAAAGGAAAAGTATACTTCAAAGACGTATATATGATACAACACACCTAATGCAATTGATGAAAAAAGTTAAATCTCATATATATATATACGACGAGGCACACACACACACAGACAGCCAAAAACTCGCCCACAAAAAGGCGCATATGTATGTTGTGATTCGATTATAGTTTAGAGGTAATGCAGAAATTATCAATAATACAAAAGAATTTGGTTAGTTTAAATATGCCTAGTAATAATTATTAAATGACAGATGGTGGTTACAAATACATTTGAAGCGAAATGCAAGCTTACTTGTGTATGTGTGCATATATATATATATATATTCGCATATAATAGCCACAAAAATGAACCAACAAAGAAGTCAGAAAATTAAAATGAGTAAAATTCAAACTACTATGCGTACTACTATGATGTACGATTAAAAATAAAACAAAGCTAATTTACTTTTAACTACTAAAAACCTTATTAAGTAGTATAAAACCATTTCACTGAAAAATCACCAAAAGGGGAATATGGAATGTGTTATGCATCAAGTAAAAATGATTTAAAAAAAAAAGAGGACAGAAAGTGAAAATCAACAATAAAATAATAATAAAATATAATTTAGAGATAAAATAATAAAATAGAGAAAGGAAAGATAACTACAGTAATACACACCTGAAAGAAAATAAGCGCTTTACAAACATTATATGTATAGAGAGAGGGTTGTTGTAGTGAGTCATCCATCAATGAGGCACCAATGAAAAGAGTATGTATGATGTATTACAACAAAACACCCATATTCTCACACGTGTACATGCGTCAGCGTGACATAGATACATATAGAGAGAGAGGAAAGAGATAAGCATGGAACTAATGAATGATTAGTGTTCACCTAAAGTTATAGTTAGCTTGTTCTTTAGTATCTATCTTACAGTGTTGGTTAGAGAGAGAGTTAAGCTCAGCTAATAGTGTGGTGTATATATGCGTGTAATTTAACTTATATAACGATTATAAAGAAATACAATAAATTATATATGAGATTACAATAAATTAAATTGGACGCCATTTTGTTTTCTTAAAAAACAAAAGAAGTCTGACGTATGCATACATATCCATTGAACATTGTACAGACAGGAAAACCAAAATACGGATGTATATGTGTCTGCGTGTGTGTTTGTGTGTGTTTAAACAGCTTTGTACAATTTGATACCTAGAAAATTTAAAAAAAAAACAGAAAGAAAAGGGAGAACAATCCTTGAAGTTTCTTGATGGAATCAATATGAAAAGTAACAAAAGTAATAATAATTGTACTAGGACTTTATGAGGAATTTCTTTTAATCCTCTGCGTTCCAAGGGGGACATAGGACTTCAACCTTGAGCTACTACCAATGGTAGCGATTACTTTTTTTTTACAGGTTGCTATTGCTAGTCTCACTTCCCATTTTCTCTCTCTATCAAGCTTACTACAGCTTAGGTATGGCTGAACAGTGAGTCAGTTGGACAGACATCGAACTCCGGATTACTGACACGTACCACCGACGTACTGATGATAGGGACAATTCAGTCAAAAATTAACCTGACCAATGCTATGCCCTATACTGTACTGACTAAAGAAGTTGGGGGAATCAACAGTACTGACGATGACCTATAACAATCAGTCAGATTTTAAAACCGCCCCCAGTAGTTAGGTAGCTTTCTCTTTGAGCTGCTGGATGTCTTTATTCGCCTAATTTCAACTGACTGTGCTTAAGAAAGCTGGTAAAATATCGCTAATAATAATAAGGAGGTTAGAAGTCAGATGGCGGGTAACGAGAGAAAATCAACTGATGATGTTATGAAAGTGACAATATACGATTAGATTAGAAAAAGATTTACGAGTGGTTAAATCGAAATCTAGTATCAAATTATTAAAGTCTTCAGCTGTTAAGCCATATAGGGAGGGAGGTAGAGACTGTTCGCTTGATTGAGGGACTGAAGATGCATCTGCGCCATTGACAAGCCAGTGACCACAATGTTTGTGAGAGTTATCCATAACAGCAATTGTCTCCCACCCTCATTGGTTTTTACTAACCCGAGGACTACAAACAGTGCTGATACACTGGTTGTAGCAGAACTCATGTCAGAATTACAACGTTTATTATATCATAAAGGGAGGGAACTAGTTATTTTTAAATTATTCAAATTTATAAAAGGGGAATGAATATAAATGGTGTATAATATGAATATCAAAATCAAAACTTACAATCTAAAATTTCATTTTTTGCCAGTTGAACTTCTCTACGTAATTCAATGATTATTTCACGACGTAATATTTCTAATTCTGTTCTACTGAATGGTAAAACACTTGACTGTATCATGTTTGTTGATGTTAATGTTGAAGCAGTATTCGGATTATTAACCACGCCTTTTTGACTAAAGAGGTAAACAGAGAAAAAACAAAAATTGAAACAATGCAGAGTAAGAACAATTTTATCTACAAATCCTTACACGAAGAAATAGTATCACAAAATTAGAAGAGGTTAGAATATTCCTTAGCGTTTGAATTCTATCCCTGTGGACGAATGGTGATCGACAGGCATACTTCGTAACTGGTTGGTCTTGGGTTCTATCCCAAATGGAGTCATAAATGCATACTGATGAAGAGTCCTCCAGTGCCTACTGATTTGAAATCACTCTCCAAATCAAGTCAGTTCGTCGTGCCCTGACTGATTCACTCACTGGTTTCAACATAAAATTACTTTGCACAGATGTGCACCAGTCCGAGTCAACACTCTCCCTCCCGACCGAAAGCTGCTACCTTGAAGTGGTGGTTGGGGTTGAACACCTCAATGGCCTAATCAAGCTCTACTGGCTGAGACTTATGTCTCTTGAGGTCCTACCATGCCAGGCAGGTTGTTTGGATAGGAGTTAGCAAAAAAAGCAGCTACCCGATCTAATATTATGATTCAAACGAATTCACAAAATATCATGCCGAATAGGTTGGGGCCCGGATTAACAACGACTGCGCTTCCTGCTGCCGTGTCACAGGGCAGAAGTGATAAATATGCTACCGAGACACACCAAACAATAAAGAACAGACAAAAACAGGCCGCGTGTGATCGGCCTCAAGCAGTTGTCCCCTGGGCTCTGCAGTCACACAACCAACTTCCACGATGTGGGCAGCCGGGAAGTAACAATCGCCCTCACAATCTGAAATGCACACGAAAACTCTCTAATCCTCACTCATCTTTGTCTTCATCTCTATTACCTTGCCTTCCTCCCACTGATGCAACTCCTCTACTTGATGGCTCTTCACTTCCTCTTCACTCTGTGTCCACTAAAAACGACTGACTTCCTGGTTGGGGTCCTCGGGACGGTAAAAACCAATGGTTGGAAACAATTGGTGATATGGCTCAAAATCGTTCTCAATGACTGGCTGGCGCAGATGCATCCACTCCTTGTGACTTATGATTTCCAATGAAACTGTTTTGTTCTCCGTTACCACTATTCCTTTGTCTCACTCCTCTGTTTACTGTCTCTCTATTATGCATTTCTTCTACTTTCTTCTCTTGTTTTGTGTGCTACATTGAGGGAGTATGGCAACTTAAACTGTCGCAAATATGTGCGAAGTTCTATGTCGAAAACAGACACACTCTCCCTACATGTACCACACAAAGGTAGAAAAGAGAATAAATAAAGAGAGATTCAAAGGACAGATAAAAGTGGGAGTGAAGGAAAAAGAACAGTAATAAATATGGAAGAACAATAGACTTTCATTGGATATGACAAATCATCACAAAGAGTAGTTAATTCTGCGGCTGTCATCACTGAGAACGACGATTGTGAACTAGCCATGTCACCAATTGTCTTCAGACTTCATTGGTTCTTACTATCCGGAAGACGCCAACTAGCTGCAAATGAATTTACACCTCCCTACGTGGCTGACTGGCTTAAAATAACTGTTATGGATTTAACTGACTGATGAAGCCATTTTGGTTTCGGTTTGACCACCAGTGCCTAGCTGTTTTCCAACCTCATCAATACCAGGTTAGCTAACATCGACTGTCGGTCGACAAAGGCGATGGTTAGAAATGCATGCGTAACACATGTCCTAACCATCTAAGTCAATGTAACTTCACAACCTGCTCAATTGACTATCCCTCCATCCCTACCTAGGAATCGACACCTAATCACCTCAGTATTACTACTCGCTTCATTATACCACCTAACATGAGAGATAGAAAGCTGGTGATCTAAACTGAAGGAAGTAGGAGACATTAATATTAGTGGATGATTTAATTTTGAAACTTTCATTTATTCTTCTACATGAAATCTGCGACACCCACTTTCAATATGATACCAGACAGTGAGTGGTCTAAGCTTAGTGATTTTACCTGAAATCCCTCGAAATATCAGACCATTAACTTCACCTCACGGAATAAACGTGATCTGCAAGAACTGGTCCGTTCACATGATGCTTGTAGCATATGGAGCGCTGAAACAGAAACTAAGTCAAGCAAAAACAACACTTGGAATATTTCTTTCTATCCTCGGAACTTTCTAGGTCATCGCATATTTTGTCAGTTTCTAAGATAATGTACCGTGTGACAACCTTCCAAATTAAAAAAAAGTTAAGACAGTCAGGCATATATCACCAAAAACCTCTACTTTTACACTTTGTTAACTCTCGCATATTACCTTTTGTTCTGTAATGCTGACCCCACCTTAGTCTCTCCTGGGCTACTCAAAATGGACTATGTGATATTGCGAAGGGCATTGCAGTCAACAGATGTCTAAATTCTTGTGAGAAATAGTCTAAATGCCTACGGTTTGACGCTCAACATCTTCTCTATTTTCAGCTCTTCACCCCACCCCTCCCCAATGTATCTTATTACGTAGGACTGAAAGAAGTCATTATAAAAGATCAGATGCTCGCTCATACAACCAAGTAGAGAAACTCAACGATACACTATTCGGTCCGTCCGCGTTCTATGTGATAGAGAAAGTGTTAAGTGTGAAACCTACGACTTACTCTATGCTATTAGCAAACAAATTGGCTCTTTTATCCAGCTTTCTTATTTGTAATCTATGGTGAAACTATTTCAATCAACTTTTAATTCTAGCTATTAACATTGTGGTGACAGCTGGCTGCAAGACGAAATTGTAGACAACAATTTGCGTCATTGTGTACGTCCTGAATCCAGGTCATGAGAAAAACAATAGCAAAACTTAACCTTGAGAAAATCACCAGCCAATCACAGCAGTTAACGAGTGGAAATATGATTCGCAGATATATGGCTTAACTTTCTGAGAAACGGCCACAAAGAGATAACAGAATTATCTTCAGCAAGAAAACAACCAATCAGAAGAGATCGGCTTCTCCGCTGACAATAATGTAACATACAAATCTATAAATATCTCTTAATTTTCTCAATAAACGACCTGTTACCTGGACCTTGGCTTATGTCGTTACAACATTATTATTATTATTATTATCGTCATTTTACATTTTCGACTTTATTGTCACTGCAAATTTCAAAATAGCTGCTATTATCAATCCTGTAATATAATTTTTTGAGCTTTGTTTTTGATGTTGTTGAGTGAATTAGACGTTGTATTGTACCAGATGGTGACAATTCCACATTGTATCATAAATACTATTTAGGAATAAAGCAAATTATTATCACCATTAAAAGATGAAATGTAGACAGATTGGAAATCTTCATTTCTTCTTGTGATTTAGCTATTTTTTTCCCATCGACTTTCGTTTGTTATAGTTTCTTTGTATTTTTCATTCTCCATGTTTACGTGTGTTTCAAATGTAGCCTGGTAACTTGAACTCCTGAACTTTAATACAAAGTGTTCTACGTTGAAGTGGAAGACATGAAAAGACTAGCTGTCTTTGATCATAGGTGCCTGCGCTCTATTTCCCGTGTAAAGTGGCATAATAAGGTGAGCAACATTGAGGTTAGGCGTAGAGTTCTAGGTAAACAGGGGAAATCAATCGACGAAGTCGTGAAGTTACAAAGACTGAGATGGTTAGGACATGTGTTACGTATGCCAAGTCATCGCCTCCCTCGACAATGAGCAACGTTAGCGGATATAGGGTCAGGCTGGAAAAAAGCTAGCGGCGGTCAAACAAAAACTTGGCACCAGTCAATGAAATCTACAAAAGTTGGTCTAAGCCACGTAGGAAGGTGTAGACTTCCAGGCTGGGGTCCTCGGGACGGTAAAAATCAATGGTTGGAAACAATTGGTGATGTGGCTCAAAATCGTTCTCAATGACTGGCTGGCGCAGATGCATCCACTCCTTGTGACTTATGATCTCCAATGAAACTGTTTTGTTTTTCTTTATTACTCCTTTGTCTCACACCTCTGCTCGCTGTTTCTATTATGCTTTTCTTGTACTTTCTTCTCTTGCTTCGCGTGCTACACGGAATGTGGCGACTTGAACTTCCGCACATTTGTGCAAAGTTCTATGTCGAAAACAGACAGACAGACAGACGTTGAAGATCCAATTGTACACTTGATTCCATATTAATTTGTTTATTGGGTGGATAAATCACACAGTCAGTGAAACAGCAAAATTATACACTGGTTGACAATAAAGTTTCGAACACAATTTATGATTGTTTATAATCATCAAACCATCAAGGTGTGTAACTATACAACTTCGAAACTTTTGTTTTTATAGTTTTCTTCATTCCTTCCTATTTATTGTCGTTGGGGTAGTAGAATTTTCCAAATATTCCGGATAGGTGTTCACTCATTTCTATTGCATGGATTTTCAGCTGATTCAATGAAAAAAAGCTTCAGTTATCAGTCAGTCTCCGTCTCCACCTTAGAATATATTAGGTTTCAGAATTGTCATCTTATCCCGTCCATCCTATAGCATGGCTGTATGTAACTGTATATAGTGATATGGCGGCTGAGTTATTCTCTAGATTTCTTTATCTTATTCAGGTCAACTTATCTATTCTGACTAACCCTGTTCTACTACTTTGACATATGTAATTGATTCAACAGTAGTAATTGCGGCGGGGTATTAGATAAACTAAATTGTTTTGTTGAATTAGCTCCACCGGCTTCATTAACAGACAAAGTTTGTTTCTAATGAAGTTTTCTGGGGAGTTTGAGTGCCAATTTTCTCCCTGCATTGTGGTTTCTGAGGTTATTTCCTTGTCTGGAAGTGCTACTGATGATTTAAATACTTCGTGGTTGGTGTTGTCAACATTCTGAGTATGCTTGACATGCATTTCAATATTATTGCAATTACTAATAAATTTTATTACAGGAAGTGAGGTATATAAGAGAGGTTTTAAAACTGAATAATTACCCTAATAAATTAATCATGATAGTTGTAGTAGTAATAATAATAATAATATAATTACTGCTATTATTATCATTTGACATCTATCCTGGACATCTAGAAA